GGCTGAAAAAAACAACCTGGGCGAGACAGCCCTTGGTCTCTCCTTGAGCGTGAAGATGGTGGGAGAGGAAAGGCTTGAAGTTTTCCTCGCCACTCGCGCTCGCTCTGTTCGCGCTCACGGCGTTTGCCGTCACTCCGACGAACCCGCTTACTTAGCTCACGTAAGAGCTATTTGCCTCGTTCCTCGGCATTGCTCTTACACCCGCTAACTAATTGCTCTCCGTCTGCTAACACAAACCGGAGAACTTCGGGCAGGGAGAGGGCTTGCTTCAACAAGCACAACTACAAGGTGTTTGGTTGTGAATGGGTGGAAAGCATGCCTCGGCCGAGCCAGGGTTTCCTCCCTGCTCGTTGAGCCATCTCCATGGGAAACCTCGGGAGATGCCGATGCACGCTTTGAGCTACAACCACGTGCGGGTGAAACGAACTCAAAGGAGAACACGAGACACCCATATCGCGAAGCTCACACCCACTCGCGTGTTCAACAAGGACTCGAGAACCCACATCGGAGCGAGCACTGCGTCCCTCAACCAACACAACCAAACAATTCAGCAGCAGACCCAACCATTAGTGACAAAAAAAAAAATAGAAAATGAAAGGTTACCAACTATGAGCATAAACCCAGCCCCCAAGGGCATGAACAGGGATACACGCAGGTACTGACCAGCGGTGTCCAAAAACATAAACAAGGATACACACAGGCATTAACCAGCAGCGCCCGAAGGCTTGAACAGCAGCACCCGAAGGCTTGAACAGCAGCACCCGAAGGCTAAAACAGCAGCACCCGAAGGCTAAAACAGCAGCCCCAAAGGCCAAAACAGCAGCCCAGAGGCTCAGACAGCAATGCACACAAGCATCAAACAGCAGCGCCCGAAAGCAGAGAACGTCAGCGCCCAAAGGCATAGACAGCAGCACCCAAAGGCATAAGACAGCGGTGCCCGAAGGCGAAACAGCAATATGTATTCTTAACATGGGAAGTACAACAGGAATGAAACACAGAAGGAGGAGTGACGACTGAGAACAGATGAAATATGCGGCAGGATAATTGGGAAGGCATTGAAAGGGAAATGTTCACGAAGGGGATGCGGTCTGGGGAGGATGAATGAGAAAACTAAGGCGGAAGACACAGCTACCCTTCAAAATCGGGCCAGTCCATCGGGTCCTGTCCTTGACTTCTGAAATCATCTGCAGGAGCATACTCACCGGAGAGCTCGTCGAGAAGTCTGGAAACCTCACTGTTGAGCTGATCTACCCGACCCGCACGTCTTTGTTCCGAAGACTTGTCACAAGCCTGATCGAGGTTCCTAAAGTAGATCTCCGGGTTGAAGGCAAATGGACGAGCGTGATACTTGCACCGTTCATCGATATCGAACTGCAACAAGGTATCAAAACATTCCTCCAGGGACTCTAGTGCAGCAAGCCTAGCGAAGTGCTGTCTCCAACGCTCGCATATGGGAGCATCGGCGACGGAGCCCAGAAAGGCGATGTAGTTTGGGAACGCTACCTTCCAATCCTGCAACGACATCTCGTCCTCCCGACCAAAGGCGGACGTGTCTAGCAGATATAAAGAGCGCTGGCCGATGGTGCGTTTCTTCCGGTAGGCGGAGGCGTCGTATTGTAGGGTGCGAAGGGCCTTTTTGGTGAAGAGAGTGAGGGGAGTGCGGATGCCGACATCGAAAAGGGTGGAGATTTCGGGATGGATGGGGTAGTCCTCCTCAAAGCTGGCCTTATGAACCTCGGCAGATACTTCGTAGAGGAGAGTGGGCGGAGCAGCGGCCACGATGGGGACGCCCGTACTGACATTTAAGTCATTTGCGGCACCGTGTGCCTGTTTGAGCTGCTCTAGCTCCTTGGAGGCGAGCTCCTTCGCCAAGAGTTTGACCAAGGCCTGTTGCTCGGGGGGCAACAAGGCCACAGTCGCCAGAACATCGGTGGTTGTATTACGGCCTGGGTAGAGAGAGGCGCGAGAGCGTGAACGCGAACGTGAAGACGAGGCGTCGTGGCTGAGAGAAGTTTCAGCGGCACCGTTGAGACCAAGACCACCAAGACCGAAGGGAGTGTTGCCGTGCATGTGGAAGAAGGAGATTAAACTGAGATAACGTAGACACTGAAAAAAACAACTGGGCGAGACAGCCCTTGGTCTCTCCTTGAGCGTGAAGATGGTGAAAAAAACAACTGGGCGAGACAGCCCTTGGTCTCTCCGGTTGTATTACGGCCTGGGTAGAGAGAGGCGCGAGAGCGTGAACGCGAACGTGAAGACGAGGCGTCGTGGCTGAGAGAAGTTTCAGCGGCACCGTTGAGACCAAGACCACCAAGACCGAAGGGAGTGTTGCCGTGCATGTGGAAGAAGGAGATTAAACTGAGATAACGTAGACACTGAAAAAAACAACTGGGCGAGACAGCCCTTGGTCTCTCCTTGAGCGTGAAGATGGTGGGAGAGGAAAGGCTTGAAGTTTTCCTCGCCACTCGCGCTCGCTCTGTTCGCGCTCACGGCGTTTGCCGTCACTCCGACGAACCCGCTTACTTAGCTCACGTAAGAGCTATTTGCCTCGTTCCTCGGCATTGCTCTTACACCCGTAATTGTGGCTGAGCGACTTTTTCGCACACAAAGCCAAACAGTTTCCGTAAGCTTTTCTCACATTTCTGTGGCACCCCTCCCTCACCCAACGCAAACGCGTACTTGATTACCACCATCAGGACGGAGCAATTTATATTTGCCCTGGATATACAGTTTTCGTACATTGCCAGCATGTTCCGCGAAAGTATGCTCGATGTCTGCACGCACAACGCGCTCAGGCCTGAAGAGCTATTAAATTATCGACGCCACAATGCATCAAGCCGATGCTTCTCCTGAGGCCTATGTATGCTTCGAGGCGCTGCTGCGGTCAGCGAAGCAAGAAACCTGACATCAGTGGCCATCGGAACGTGGATGTATTGTGCAGATTTAAAGGCCGCCTCTAATACGAGTTTGCGAGCCAAGAAGAACCATCTGTGGCGACTCTTGCGTGACCACCCAGAAGTAATTTCCGGTATTGAATACTCTGCAGTACACCGAACATTCCCCGCCCCCCGGACTGATTGGGCCACATTTGATCGCATACGTTATATCGAACTGATTTGCTTCTGCACTCACATTACCCACTCTTCCAGTCGAGTTCCACAGTGTTTACCAACTTTACCTACGCGTGCTTAGTTGACTAGTTACACCCAAACAGCGCCCCTGGCCTGCGCCGGCGCTATATAAATGCTTTTGTTTTTAAAAAAAAAGGATACTCTGCAGTATCGCTAACAAAGTTGCTACTGCAAATAAAGTGCACGAAAATATTGAGCACTGGTAGATAAGTATGCCATTGTCAGAAGAGGTCTCTCAAGCAAGGTCAGTGCCACAGCATGTGGAGCTTCCCTAGTAAATGAGCGCCAAGAATAATTGGATAGAATGTTTGAAAGGTCAAACGTTCACAAAACGTTCACGTCCACTGCTAGCAGTGGCAGACGTTTTCATCAGACCAGTCACCACACCCGAATGTCACGTGGTCAGCACTAATAGGTTGACTATAAATCAGCCTCCTTCCTGAACATTCGTCTAACGCTTCCCCTCAAATCTTTTCGTACTCCACGACGCCCGTCAAGGTAAGATGATCATCTGCCATCGCATTATACAGAATATTGGCTTGAGCGATTCTTACTATAGCAGTCAGATTAAACCATGTCGACGCCGATTATAAAGGGAACCTCCATCTCTGGTGACGGTGGCGTTGAGAGTGATTGCGTACCCCCGCCGCCAGGCCATATTGACCTCTCGCAAATCGAGTACCACCCATGGCCTGCGTGCTTTGTTGCCGCGGTATCTAAACTTTTGGACAATGCTGGAATACCAAATGTGCTCTGGGGCGATCTCCTTCACTGGTGGCGTGGCTGCCGTCACATCCCTCAGGTGAGATTCTTACCTGAGTCGTCGCGCGATAGCTGACCTTCATATTGGTCTCTTTTGTGTCTACTAGATCTGCGGCCTAGTCGTGCCTTCTGACCAGTTTGATACTGCTGTCACTCTCATTGAAGACGCGGGTCTACCGTCGTGCCCCTGCGAGTCCTCTTTCCACATTTCTGATCCCAAAAAAGGCTATTGGCTCCCAGTACACTTTCGAGTGACGCTTCCCCCTATCTTCGAACAAACCCTCTTCCTATGTCCGAACAAGAGGCTCTTCGACTTAATCCCCCTCTACCCTTCTCATCGCAACCCTCTCAACTTATCTTTCGACCAATACATCGTCGATATCTACAACAGTTTCCATCCCGTGGAGATAGCCGTGGGTTCGAGCGCTTCTACCAATGTGGTTGCAGACTCGCCCACCCTGATGTCCCGTCCGCCCAACGTCCACTCACTCAAAGTCATGACGACGTCTAGTCTCATCAAGACCTTGATAATACTACGCGCATTTTCCCCTCCCGATAATCAATGCGGGGTGGAACATCCCTTCTTGTCCATCCTTTTCCTTCTCTGCGTTGATACCAGTGATCAAGGGCCTCATGTCTTCGGATCTCAATCCGTACAGCGTCTGTGGGATGAACTATATACCGTGAAGGGTATGGAGAACCCTCACCGGCCAGATTTGTGGGATGGCGTCCGTAATGAGTGGAAGAACAAGCTGGGTCTTGAGCTACCCGTGTCAGAGTAGATATGTCCTCGATGTAGTTCACAATGTACGCGCATGTTCAGATGAAGGCTTCGTTTATGAGCCGAGAAACCATGACAAATATAATTGACATAGACAATGAATTCGAAACGGAACGCATAATTTTGTATAGTCCTTTTCACTCTTCGCTACAACCAGTATAAGACCCCTTCTCTATATACACCTAAACAGAGGCTATAAGAGAACGGCGGACGTGAGTCGACGCAGCACCATGCAGAAGAAAATAAGATAAGAAATACCATATGGCTCAAGCATCGTTCAACATCTCTTGTGGAGCCCTGCTAGCCTGCAGCAGCCTACGCCAACCCTCCTTGAGTGGGCTAGCAGGCGGGGCCCCTTGCACTTCCAAGGCCGTCGCCAGCACCCAGAAGTCACGAGTGATTGCTTTAGCGATGTTGATATCGCGATTGAGCTGTTGCAACTGGACGATACCGACGGGGATCTGGAATGTAAGACATTTGTCCAACGCGAACGCGAAGTCCTTGACATCGTTGACTTGTTTCTGCCTTCGCTCATTAGGATTGGGCTGGCTGCGCTCGGTTGCGCTTCGCATCTTGCTGACCAGCAGCGTCGGCAAATTGAGGGCTACAACGGCTGGATAGTGGGGGATCGTGCAGAGCATATTTGGAGCCTCAAAGGGGTCCCAAAAAAGGTTGGCGTCCACGAAGTCGACCTGAACGGGGACCGTTTGGCCGTTCATAGTGCGCAGGAGCCAATAAATCTTCGGGCCTACGGAAAAACGGTGATGAGGGTCTTGAGCCGCAAGGTCTTTAAGTCTGTTGGTATCGATTGGTCGACCGATCGGTCCCGGCCCCCTACTAGTTCGAGAAAGATCTATCGCCAAGTCGGCATCCTGGACGATTGTTTGTTTAAAGTCAAGTGTACGTCGTAGGAATGGTGTAACTTACAGACGTCGAGCGGGCGTTCCCGTGCATAGCCAGTGCAAGTCCGCCGCAGATGAATGCGGTGGCCCCCGGCGCAACGGATTGGAGCCACTGGGAGAATTCTCTAGCAGCTTGTACCAGTTGCTGATGAGTCGGGGATGCTGTCGCAGGATGAGCCGGCACCAGATACGGTGGCGGAGGAGGAGGCGGAGGAGGAGCAGTGTATCCGTAGTTGTACGACATATCTTTGGGTTGCTTCGAAGGTAGGATGCGTAGGTGAACGATGCCAGAGAGTCCGGGACCTCTCAGAGTTTTTATACCCAGACGGAAGGATAACGTATAGTTTTGGACTCCTCGTGTGCGCTCGACCCCTCACCCTCAAGCTCGACCGTCCTGACTCAGGACTCCCGTGTATTATTTTTTTCTGTGACTGAGAGAGGATAGAATGATCACTCACATACGAGTCAGATATTCTGAACTCGGCACGTTTGAACGTGCTCATGGGTCATAGCCAGCTACGGACGAACTTGGAAGCATGTCGAGGAAGGAAGGAAGGAAGTTCGTTCTCGCGCCACCCGTGAATTTTGTTCACACCAGGATTTCGGATGTCCTTCTTTGAGTATACCGCATCAGTGTATTCGGGGCAGGCAGCTATTGAAGCCTCCATATGCACCCCGAGTATACGGATATGCGGATAAGTGGCTCATCATAACTCGATGGCCATGCAGCGACCACGGGTAAGAGAAACGCAACGAAGCTCAATGCTTGGCGACTTCAATGAAGTGAGGCATTCTAGAGTATATCAGTTAACATGGCTCCGCCTACTACTATTCGAGTAACTCGGAAACACTGGGTGACTATCCGTAGCAGTCTAGGAGTGTTTCTTGATGCACGGAAACACCAACGCAGGGGGCCTCATACGACGTGAGGCTCTTCAGGGTTAGACTGTCCGTAGGAGATTTGTGCAAATCGTAGAGGCCTAGATGCACAGAAAGAAGGGTGAAGTCAGCTTTTGATTGGATGAGAACCTATCAGGAAACCTACTAGATCGCTACGGAGAGTCACCCACTATATAATCCATAGTTCCATGACTTAGGTAAAGCGTTCGATGTAAATTCAGAAACCGAGACACAAGTGCCTTCATTATGATGAGCGCATTACTCGAAACCTGCACCGTATCGACTGTCCATCGTGTATTCGACAGACCAATCCGCGAAACTAAACACTGGGTGAAATTTCACAGGAGGTTTGTGCAAGTCCTAGGGCCTAGATACACAGAAAGGAGGCTCAGGTGGATTTCTTTTTGAACTCGTCCCCTGTGTACGTGCTTCTATGCACCAGGAAACGCTCCTATAGTGCTGCAGAAGGTTAGATTAGAAAGACGTAAATCATAGCTCCCGTCATCACTGTATGATGTTGAGTCCATGCTCCGCTGGAGGTCTGGCTGTTTCCGTACTAGGTCCCCGCCGTGTAGTATACCTACCTACCTTAGCCTCCCGAATAAACTATCAACGATTGTTCCGTTTGGCTGTGGAAGCAGGTGGAAGCCTAGTGAAGAAGGGTGAAAAGGCGCTGACCAAGACATGAGGCGCGAGCCGGTATGCGGAAAACGACGGACTCTTCCACAAGCAACGATAGGAGCGAGTTTGCTTACAAGCGAATAGTCTCCGCACAGTACTGTGAAGCCAGAAAGCACCCGCGGAAGCATGAGGCCGCAGGCCCGGGAGAAGGGGAAAAAAATTGAACATCTCACCAGAGTCACTACGTTTGAAGACAGAGATAAGCTGGCCAAATGACTGGTCAAGGGACATCGATGAGGGGTTTAGAGTCCGTAATGGCACGAGGCGAAGTGTCAGGATGATGGAGAAACACAAGCTCACGGATTGGAGTCGGTCAAGCCGCAAGCGAATCAGATTCGTCTCCGCCACCCGGGAGATGCCGGAGCCTTCGTGTCCAGGGAGGATGATTGGAGGGCGGCTGTCATACTGTGACCAACCCGTCCGGCGAGTCCGGCGCCGCCTGGAGGCACCCGGCCATGCCTGGAGGAACCCGGCCACGCCTGGAGGAATCCGGCCACGCCTCCAGGCAATTCATGTCCTCTCCCCTTTGAAGGATGCCTCCAGCCGTTTTGTACACATCTTGTAAATACCCAAAAAACAATTTCATTTATTTGCATATGCTCCAATCTGCCTGGAGACAATCCGTCACAAGTTGATCTCTCCTTGGAGGCATTCTCCCACAAGTCGCACTTTGCCTGGAGGCGATTGCGGAGCAAGTTACACTTTGCCTGGAGGCGATTTCGAGCAAGTCACTCATTGTCTGGAGGCACTTTCAAAGAAGTTGCCAATTGCCTGGAGTCTATTCTCACCAGCTCCATATTTGCTTGGAGGCTGTTCTGCACATGTCATGTTCTGCCTGTGGAGTTTCTGTCGGATCAACGCCA